GATTTCAATGCCATTTGCTTTATTCATCACATGTAGCCTACATAGAAACATAACGTAGCAGTTTTCAGCAGACATGAGATAAGAGTGAATGTTTATCTATCAAGGCTTTCTTCCGTAATTTCACATGTCTAAGAAAATGTTTCAGAAAACTCTAAAATATTATTCTCAAACTTATACTTATTAGGGTATACAGTATATTATAATAAAAATATTACTTGCTTATTAGTTCACATGCATTATTTTATATACACACTTGCGGTCGAAAGTTTAAAGTAATTAAGACTTTATTTATTTTTGGAAAGAAGGCTGAATTTATCTGATCAAAAATACAGTAAAAACACTATTATGAAATATTACAATTAAAAGTGTTTTTTTATTTAAGATATTTTAAAATGTAATTTATTTCTGTGATCAAAGCTGAATTTTCAGTATACTCCAGTCTTCAATGTCACATGAATCATGATCCTTCAGAAATCATTCTAATATGCTGATTTGCTGCTTAATTATTATCAGTTATTATTTGTGCTCAATTATTAATAATGGTTCTTATTATTATCAGTGCTAAAAACTCTTTTTTTTTGGAAACTGTGATACTTTAACATTTTCAGGATTATTTGATGAATACAAAGTTAAAGAACAGCATTTATTTGAAATATAAATAATTTGTAATAAGTATAAATCTCTTATTGTCACTTAAAGCAATTTAATGCAACCTTGTTGAATAAAATTAAAAATATGTAAATTAATACTCTTACCCCAGACTGATTGGAAATGTATCACATTTTCCACAAAAATATTGGGCAGCACAATTGTTTTCAACATTGATAAAAATCAGAAATGTACATTTTAACATGTATTCACATAGAAAAGAGCTATTTTAAATTGTAGCATTATATATTTCACAATATTACTGTATTTTTCATCATGGTAAGAATTTTTATACTCTTTTCCACAATTGGAGCTCTATTCAATAAAATGACAGGAGATGTCAAGCTCCTGCAAAAGGAAAAATATAAGACGAATAGAAAGGCACCATAAAAACAATCCACATTCAGTCTTTCAGACCAAAGTAGAACATTGGTATATGGACTAGTGAAGTAGTAGTTTGCCAGTCATTCATTAATATCAATGATACGCATTTCAATAAAATAAATAAATAAATAAAAACAATTATATTTCTGTATTATGTTATATTTTTATGTTAGTTAGTGGTGTTAAAATTGCTCTGTGTATAATGAGCTGGTGGTGGGTTTATGGTGTTGCGGACCGGGTGTGGTGGGCCGCTCTGTGTCAGAAAGTCCAGGGCCACTTTTTAGCCCCAGTCCACCCCTGGTCATAATATTTAACATACTGCTTATTTATTTAAACAGGGTCTCACTGGATTGTCTGGAAAACCTGGTGTGAAGGTAAAGTAAACCCTAAAACAGTCTTTCTCGCTCCAGTGACTCCAGAGCATATGTTCATGGAAATGACTCAGCGTTGGCCTGAAGAAGTTGTCATACATTGCACACTCTCTTTTCTCTATGCGACTCTAGGGCAGTCAAGGTGACTCGGGAGAGAGAGGGGAGGCAGGCAGTACTGGTCCACAGGGGCCCATGGGCCCCAGAGGGAAAGATGTGAGAGTCTGCACCCATTTATACATGAACACAGGCCTCTACTAAAAGCTGCTTCTAACAACTTAATCTGCAACTAATGCTCATCATCTAACATTTTAATTGTGTCTATGATACATCACCCTTAACATATCAGGTGTTTTGAAAGTTACTACTCTATATACTTTAGCCTTATAAATAATCTGCTTTGGTAATGAGATTTATTCAATGCTTTTTTAACATTGAACATCTTTCTTTCTCACTGAAGTAACAAGTAGTCAAGGTAATGGGTATATTTCTGCCTTGTCTTTAGATTCTGCTCCACACTTCCTTAAAGCTACTGTTTTTGCTTTGGTGGCTTCTGAAATATGGAATTGTATTGTCATTCTTGACACTGTATTTTTTTTGTGTGAATAATTAACAGAAATAAAATAGCTAATGTCAGGAAGTCCGATGTGTTATTTTGTTTCTTTAGGGACTAAAAGGAGACAAAGGAGAGGATGGCACTCCAGTGAGTTTTTTTTCATCATTCCTGTATTTGTGAGTATGTTTGTGTTTTGTATGTAATGTTTCTCTGTTTCTCTTGTCTCTCAGGGTGAATCAGGGTTGCCGGGTAAATCAGGGGAGAGAGGTTTAAGCAGTGGCGGTTCTACATTGAATTACACCCTGGGCGAGACCCCCTTCCAGCACCCCCCCCCCCCCCCCCACAAAATTCTCCACCACTCCCCAACAAAATTTAAAATAACAAATTATTTCTCCAATAATAACTGTATAGATTTATACATGCATCAGTGGTTGCTGTTTATATATGCATAATGCTTAATGTTTCATATCCTTCTGTCAACTCTATTGGGTTAGTTGAAATATTGCATGTAAAAAAAGTTTACATTACATAACAAAAAAGGTGGCACAGTAACACTTCTGAAGTGGCATTTAGGTGCCTTTACACAGACAGTTTAATGCTGCTCAGAGGTGGCATAAATGCTTTACACAGCAATTATAACTGCATACTTCGATATTAGGGGCTAAGCAGGAAAACTTTAGTCTGGCTTTAATGCGGCATTGCATCTTTACACTTTATTTTGAGAAGGCACAGAGCAGCCTAAACTCAGCTTAATGCTCAGACTAATTAAACTGCAAAGGTGGCACAGAAACACTTCTAAAGTGGCATTTAAGTGTCTTTAATGCGGCTCAGAGGCAGCATAAATGCATTTACACTGCAATTACAATTGTACACTTTGACATTAAGGACAGGTGGGTCAGAGCCTGCATAATTTTGTCTGGCGTTTACATTGAACTTTACATGTCTTTATGCCGAGTTTTGAGCAAGCACAGAACAGCCTTAACTCAGCTGTGTAAAGATATCTTAAGAAAGTTCTACATCACTATTAATTGAATTGTAATGTTTAATACTGCTCAGAGAAAAACACACTTAAGATAATCCGGTTATTTAACTATTGCAATTACAACAGGAAACACACTTTTTAAGGTGCACAATCTCCACCTCTAACATTGCCAAAAGACAATGAACACAATTCTGCACAAAATATGACAGTATAAGTTATCAGAAATTAAATAAATATATACTATATACATAAATGTGCCAAAAATATATACAGTCAGATATATACAAAATGTAACGAGCAGAGAGCAACAATAATATAAAATATTAAGAATAATATACAAATAAAATATAGAATAAATATTCTAAATGGCACAACTCCTTCATCACACAAATGTGAAAACACACTAAAGAGAATCTAATTATTACACTATTGCACTAAGAACAGAAAACACAAACTAAAACTAAAACCTGACCTTTCTGGCCTTGATGCAAAATCATCAATGGTGTCATCGTATGAAATCTGCTCCCCTGTTGAGTGATTGATACTGATGACGGCAAGGCCAGTGAGCCGTTCCTGGGACATGGTTGATCTCAGGTACGACTTGATCAACTTTAGTTTTGAAAAGCTCCTCTCTGCTTGAATATTGATGTATAATTTATTTCCATATTCACTTGTTGTGTCTCCCAAAATGCCTGATAAACATGATTTAAGTCCTGATGTCCTCTACAGTGGACATGTATGAAATCAATGCCCTGTTCTGTAACAGAAAGTCATTTTTTGATTTGAAACCCCATAATGTTTTGACATAACGTCTGAGATGTTGGTTTATGAAATACAATTTGAAAAGTAGTCCGATTTAAACTATAATTACACAAACTTGAAAAGCACAATATTATGGTGAAATTAGATCTCGTGTTTGTTGAGTTAAAACCGAATTATTGTTGTATAAGCATAGGAAGCATCATAGCAAAAAGGCTAACAAACTTAAGAGTTATACCCACCAATTAACATTAGCCCTTCATTCATGACATGGATACCGTAATAATCATGCAGAGAGAACATAGTTGCATACCTTTATCTTTTGCTCGTTTCTCCTCTTCTTCTTTTCTTTTTTTTCTAAACTGGGCACCTGATGGCTTTGACCTTTTCCTGTCCATCTCTGTGTTTATTTGGCACTCGACAATCAACAGATTTCCCATCCCCTCAACACTGTCACTCACAACCAGAAGTCAAGACTAAACCAATTCACCTTGGTGACCACAGAATCGTTTTGTATTACCTATTTTTATTAGCCATTTCACACAATTCAGAAAAACAAAAATGTGCAGGAACTATAGGCCTGTATTTATAATATTATGAATGAAATGTGTGTTATTTGGAAGAAAGTCGAGGTGTGACTGACTTTACAGGTCAACCTGGGCCAAAAAGAGACACAGGATATCCGGGTAAGATGGACGAAATGTAAGACATATGACTGCCTAAAAGTATTTCAGCAAAATTAAGGCATGGTCATGCCTAACTAAATATTAAAAAATTTCCTTTTTAAGCCGGAATTATTTATACAGAATAATTATTTATACTGAATTTAGTTATTCTTTAAAAAAAAACTGAATGAAAGAAATTTATGAAAGAAAACAAAAAGTATTTTAATACAAAGTACTGTACACCATTAAAGCACAAGGAATATGAATATTAATAGAATAGATATTAGATTAATAGTGAAAAAGGAATTTTAATAGATTCCCATTTTGTCAGCAAATATAATTTCTTTTTACATCCTTTATTTGTAGTCACTATGACTTTATATCAAATAGTTCCTTATATATAACAACCAGTAATTCTAAGAGCTCATCGTACTGAAATCCAGGCCCATGACCCCAAAACTAATATTTTATTGGATAATTAATTTTATTGGATAAACAACCATAGAAATAAAAACATCAACCTTGCCTTTGAATAAAACAACACTGAATCATCGCTGCACGGTATTTAGGACTATTGGGTTATTTTTGTCTAGACATGTGATCAGAGCTTTGTTCTGCGCAGGGTACCCCAGGTCCCAAAGGGAGAGCAGGTGAAGTATCAGAAGCTTCTCACTCAACACAAATTCACACATGTTTGGACCTCCACACAAACATTGAAAGTGCCATCTAACATCTTTATTACGGGTAACTATAGGGAATACAAGGTCCCCCTGGGCCACCTGGAGATGTGGTATGTTTTAAAATCATTATCGTCACACTGTACTTTTTTTCTACACCCCCTGTTTATTTAAATAACCTGCTGTTTTTGAAATCTTTCGAATTTGTTTTTTCTGTTAGACAACTGGAGAGAAACAGCTGAAAGGTGACAGAGGAGAAAAGGTACAGTAAAATGTTCATAGTCTTTAAATTCTGTCTATCATGCATATTCTGGTTTTGTCATTGTGATACTCTTGTTCTAACACCAGGGAGAGGCAGGTGACCCAGGGGAGCACGGGGCTAAAGGTCAAAAGGGTGAACCAGGAACTTCAGGCTCGCCAGGACCAAGCGTAAGTCAGTATGGTGATCAGACAGTATGTGTAATTGAGAGTAATGTGATTTGTATCTTAACCTATTTGTTGTTTAGGGTCCTGAGGGGCCGCGTGGGCTACCAGGAGCCAGAGTAAGAACCTCCTACTGCTTTTGTGCCTTTTATCTGTTTAGACATTTCTTTGATCTTTATGTGTATCTGTGTCTGTCTCTGGCCGCATACACACTGAATCTAAATGTGATGATACACGGGGCAAATTTTTGAGCAATGTTGCTGAGCAACCAGGTGAGACATAGGGCCTATGACCGATCTAAAGTATCCAGATAGAAATTTGTTGCCCATTTTCAATGGGAAAGTGCCCAAGCAACATTATTTGCCCGGCAACATTGCCCCATGTATCATCACCTTAAATATGGTGATATACAGTACGTAATCCCATTCAAACACAAAGTTATTTAGGACAGTGGGAACCATATTATGCAACTTCATTCTAAACATTCAGATAACTGATTTTTCATTAAATCTCCACTGTAGTACCACACCAGGAGTCATTACTTTTAATAGCAGATTGTACAACTCATTCAGCTTTCTGTTTCTTCTAGGGTGACCCAGGCGATAGGGGCAGTCCAGGAGACAAGGTAAAAGAGCCAGTTTTCCTGGTTTACTGTGGGACGTTGCTTTTACTTCTTTAAGTACCATGTCTAGGCTGTAGATTTTTTAGACAGGTGAATTGTTTGACCTTCATGTTCCATAACAGCAAACAAGACCATTTTTGAGACCATTAACATGACCACAAGACATGAAATACAAAACATTTTAAAGTTGTTAAAAATCTACTTTCTTTAAATGACAGGAATTCTGACAGGAAGTAGTATTAGCTTAAAGGTTAAGTATCTGCACTGCTTAATGCAAAGGCCGCAGGTTCAGTTTTATATATGGTTGGTATTGTTTAGGCACCTTACGATTTGATTAAATTTTGATTCAGGAAATCTGAAATCATGATGCGATTACTAAACAATATTCAGTGCTTAAATTTTTCAACAGTGCCTTTCAGCCGCAAATCTTTGTAAATAAATCATGCATTTAGACCTAGAGTCTTTCCGACATATGTCGAAGCTTTGGATTGCTTAAGGGTTTTCTGTTAGAATTGACAGACGTGAACAGGCCGTTGTTCTTCCCGCTCCAGAAGAACAACACTTGTTGTTATTTTCTCAAAATATTGGAAAAACATTAATATTTTGAAGTATTTTTACAATTTAAAATAACAGTTTTCTATTTTATTATATTTTAAAATGTAATTTGTTCTTGTGATGACAAAGCAAAATTTTTTAGCCATTACTCCAGTCTTCCATGTCACATCAACTATCAGAAATCATGAAATCATATGCTGATTTGGTGCTCAAAAATATTTTTTTATTACTATCAATGTTGGAATCAATTGTGCTGCTTCATATTTTTGTCGAAACTGTAATAGCATAGAAGCATATCAGCATAGAAAAGAAAGTTCAGAAGAACAGCATTTATTTGGAACATTTTTTTTTGTAATAGTGTCAGTATTTACTGTCACTTTTGATCAATTTAATGCATCCTTGCTAAATAAAAGTATTAATTTCTTTAAAAATATATCTTACTGACCCCAAACATTTGAACGGATGTGTATATTGTATTTTTTAATGTAAAGCAAATGCCAAGTAAACGTAACCTGCAATGAATTTTATAGAAAGAGGATTGTGATGTCCGAACAAGGAATTGAACACCTTGCTTCAGCCGTGCAATTTCTACCATCAATTACTGTTTGAATGAGGCATCTATAAAGTAAGCAGCTTCCTTAAATATCTCTTCAAAAGCAGGTGTAAGCACCCCTGCAAAAATCATTCTATTTTAGAGTGCAGCAATGACAATATTTTGAAAAGTGAGTGTCATACAGTGGTAGACAGCTGAAAAATGGCTGAAGTGGTAAAACTGGCTGCAGTAATCAGTGTAAAGTATAAATATAACTGCTTAGTCATGGATCTCTCTATACTGCAGAAGCTGTGACACACTTCATTATGTCAGGTTTTACCTCGTGGGGTTTTAAATAGCAGGTCTCACTAGCGCTGCAATTATTTGGTATTGCCTGTCTGCGAGACTGTTTAATCTTTGTCTAACATTTGTGCTACAGAACTGAAACAAGGTTTTGTTTCATAGTTGGAGGAAATGAGAAAACAAGATCTCACTGATGTCTCGAGGAATATTGTAAACCATGTTGTGGCTTTCTACAACAGACGTATAGCCAATTAATTTGTGTCTGACCCTTGTGGCATATACTTGTACCAGTCCTCATCTAATTTATCCTTTTGATCTCTGTTCCTTTCATAATTATTGTGTAGGTTTTTAGACTGGCTTCATTGATTTTATTACATTAATTAAGCTGATGACTGCTGCTTTTGGCATACATATGTGTGATGCTTTCAGAAAGGTGTTATTAGTGACAAAGATTGGATCTATCAGTCAACCCGTTCAAATCATTATTCATTTAAGTTGGTGACGACTCAATGCTGAGAAAATTGAAATTGATTTTGAGTTATGTTGATTGTTTTGTGTATTTACAGTGTGCGTGTGCAGGGAGAAAGAGGAGCGGCTGGATTGGATGGACGACCCGGTCAGGATGGGAAACCTGGGCCGACTGGAGCTCCTGGATTACGGGTCAGATAATAACTTCAATCCTTGCATCAGCTTCATATTCAAAGGATATTCTATCAATCTGAATCCTTAATGTTTTTGGTTTTGTAGGGTGACCCAAAAAAACAAGGGGATCCTGGAAGAGATGTGAGTACTCCTGTCCCTCCGTATGTCAAATCATCTGTTTGTTGCATCATGATGTTGCCACTGTTTGCTGCAACAAATCAATCCAGTTTTTAATCTGTTTAACATTTAATTGTTGTTTCCTAGGGCTTGGCAGGACTAAGAGGGCCTCAGGGGCCTCCAGGACCACCTGGGCCCCCAGGAGCTAATGGCACACCTGTGAGTAATATCACAGCTTAATCTGTGAAAATCATTTATCCATGCAAATTCCCATACTGGAGCATAAGCACGTTATTACATCAAAATAATGTTATGCTTTATTTCAGGGCAAAGCAGGGGAGGATGGGAAACCAGGACTGCCTAGAAAACCTGTAAGTGATGCTGTAATCTTAATGAAAACCCAACATCCTTTCAGAAACATTTGAATCTACTGTAAATGCAACATATTTTTGTAAAATATTCTCACATATTGATATATTCAACAACCTAATTGTAATATCAGTAGCATGTGTTAATTTCCAAGCCAGCACTTGGTACTTTAAATCCTGAGGCTTTTTAAAAAAATTATCAAGGCACAATCTAGAATGCAGCATGCCAACACTCGTTCCAGTTTAGTAACCACACCACAGTCCTTGTCCTCCATAAATGAGACGATTAAATCCTGCTGATAATAAATAAATCACCCTCTTAGTAGCCTAATGAGCTTTCAGTGGGAGGTAACTCTGACTAATAAATGCTTTATAGTTTGTAGCGAATCAGCTCATGGGGAAATATGATTAATTAATCATAACTAGTTATAATTAATTATAAATATTTAGTTCCGCTGTAGATATTTACTTGACCTCTCAGGGTCAACTGTCTGTCAATT